TGCTAAACAAGCTATTTATTAAATTATTAATTTACCCTAATATAAAATAACCAAAACGGTTATAAACTCACAATTTGCATTGTATCCAATACTTTTGAAATAAAAATAAATAAATAATGTCTCATCAAACATAAACACCCTTCCGACCCAACCTCCTTACCCATTGCCAACCAGCCATGTGGTTCTATCTCTCTCTCTCTCTGAATTTTGGATGATGGACTCTCAACAAGGCCTACGAATTGAAGTCCTCCATCATTAGGAATCTCTCCTAACTCCAAAACAACCCTCTAGTGATAATCCAATTCCGATTTCTATGAAATAAAGCTTACCAATTCTGTAATAGGGAATAACTTTATCAAATTCTAATCACTAATAATTCGCCACAAGTACTGTAATTGGTTATCAACTGTAGGAACTAACGAGGAAGGTCTGTGTGAGATAAGAAAAGAGAGTGAGGGGCGGGGCCCATGGCTGATAGTGGAGATAGTGAGTGGCGGCAGCGATGGCTGGCAGTGAGGAGGCTGGGTAGGGAAGGAGGTAGTTATTACTGGAACATTTAAATTTTTTTGTTTTTTATTTCATAAGTATTGGCTAAGAAGGTGCAAATGATAGATGAGTTTTAGATTAATAAAATTATGGTGACGTGGACTTATTAGAATTTATTAGATTAATTTAATGGTTAGTATTTGTTTAAAAGGGTGTTGTGTGATAGTGTATTAGGGTGTAACAGGGGTATTTTTGGTAGTTAAATAGGGTGTACTTAGTTAATTTTACATTTTAATTAAAATATTAGAGTATACTCAATTAATTTTAGAGTTCCTTTAGCAGCACTCTTTTTTTCATTGTCTAAAATTCACTCTAAGGGGGGTGTATATTCAATTAAGATTTTAAAAGAGTTTAAAAGAGTTTAAAAATTTGGGTGTATTCAATTCAGATTTCAATTGATATTAAAAAAATACATCGAAATCTAGGTGTATTCAATTATGACTTTTTAAAAGTCAAACGAAATTTAGGTGTATTCAAAAAGTAATTTATTTTGAAGGAATTAATAAGTTGCTCGATTTCGTTAGAAAATAAAGTGGTAAGTATAAATACAAAAGGCTTTGACAAATCTTATGTGAACCCTAGAAACTTTGAACGTGCTCTACGCTTTCCAGTCCTTGAATGTGTGTGCTTGTCAAGTGGAGGTAAAAAATCTCTTCTCTTTTTCTACGCTTTCCAGTGCTTGAATAATTGATGTTGCTATACATAATCATATATCCAAGCAATTGCTATTGCTTGTATTCGACACACATCATGTATGAATAGTTGAATAGTTATTGTTGCCGTCATATATCCAAGCAATTGCTGTTTCTACTTTTCCTTTTTTTTTTTTTTTGGTTGCTGTTTTTTTTCTTGAATAGTTTTTTGGTTGCTGTTTCTTTTTTGTTTATGTACTTTTTCTACATCACCCTTTTTTGTTGTTGCTGTTCATCAAATATCGATGGCCTTCTTCTACAATCATCCTTTTTTTTTTGTTCTACGTTTCCCTTCTTTATTTTTTTTTTTTGTTGCTGTTAATGTATATATATATATATTTTGCCATTCTTTTTCTTGTTTTGTACAATATCTATATATATCTAGTCTATGCCAAAATAAAAAAGAAAAAATTATCTTCATATATAATTTTTTTCCTGTGAACTAATAAAGATTGCATGTATTATCTAGTAACATTATAAAGAAGAAGAGGAAATGGACGACGAAAAATTAGAGAGAAATGATAAATAGCCCCCAAAAAAAAGAAAAAGAAAACATTTTAGAACTCTAATAAACTCTTTTAAAATCTATGATAAAACTATAACGAACACCATTAAAATCAATCTAGGAATTCAATCAAACTCTATGTGGAGTTTATAGAAATCAATTGAAATATATTGAACTCTATAAACTTAATAACTCCGTTTAACTCTTTTAAAATCTTAATTGAATACACCCCCTAAACTTCCCAAATACACGACTTTATATATTTCCTTCAATAACTTTGATTATACTCAAACTTTCTTAAACTCCTTCATCCTGCAGACTTCTTAAAATCCACAACCCTAATTGAATGCTCCCCTAAATAAAAAAGAGTTGCCGTCTCACGTTTCTCAGGTCCCAAACCATGGAAACCAGAGCTGCAAAGAAGAGAAGGCTGATAGAGGAAGAAAACAAACGCAATGGGCGACGCAGGGACAGATTCAGTGATCTTCCAGATGAAATATCGCACCACATACTCTCCTTCTTACCCATGAAATCCATCGCACAAGTAAGTGCTACATCGAAAAGGTGGAGATCTCTATGGGCTTCCTTTCCTATTCTTGACTTCTCCGAGGTCTGTCCTCTCACCTTCCCGTTCTTTCAAAACAAAAGCGTTGGCCAAATTTATGATCAACAACTTAAAGTAGTGAGATTTATATCCTCAGTATTGTCTCGCCGCCATGAAAACTCTAATATAAGGTTTTTTGCTTTGGCGGGTTATGTGATTTATGCTTGGTTGCATGATTGGATGCCTTGGCTGGTGAAATATAGGGTTGAAAAACTAGTTCTCAAAGTCTGGTCGAGGCGGATGTGTGATTTTACTATACCTCAGTGTTTGTTTGAGTGTGATTCACTGAAAAGTCTCACATTGGAAAGTACTAATTTTCCAGGTCACCCACCCCCAAAACCCCAAACAACTTCAGAAGAACAATCTAGGTTTTCTTCTTATTATTATGTTAGGGATACGGGCGGTCTCCGCTCACTTAGAACTTTGTCCCTAACTAAGGTGAATTTCTCAAATGTGGATGGTGATTTCTTTTCAGATTCTTCATTTCCTTTGCTTGAGGAACTAACTATAAATTCTTGTAGAAGAACGAATCCTCTCAAAATTTGCCTTGCAAACCTCAAGGATCTACAAGTTTGCAAAATTCTAGTAAACCTTGACATATCTGGAATGAAACTAGAGAGTTTGATTGTCTAACTTTGTTTTAGACTCAGTGAAAACAGTGAAAATTTGGTTAATATTGTCGCTCCCAATCTACTAACTTTTCATTGGGAGCATAATGACATTGCTGAGAAAAGTTTGATCCAAAACTTTCCAAACCTCAGAAAAGGCATCATACATCAACGGTTACTAGTCCAATTTCACAAAGTGAAGACTCATGCTGCAGTCAATTTTCTTTCCGCCTTATCCCAAGTTCAAAACCTTAGTGTGTCCTTTCACATTCTTGAGGTCAGTTCTATTTTCTCATATACTTCTTTGGAGGCATAATCATTTTGAATTTACGAGCTCTCTTGGATGCTTTAACAATAGATGAAGTAAGTTGCAAAGTAGTCATATCTTGTTACTGGTGTTGCATCTATTTATCCTTTTACTGAATATACATATATAATGCCCCCAAATTGAAAGTGGGACATAGCCTTTGTTTTAAGATCTATCTGTGGTAACAATGGATCTGTATAGCTATGGGGTGATATGTAATATAACCTACATGTATATGGTACTGAAAATTTTCATAAATATGTTCTCTGGATTTATATCGCTTATAAATTATCTATGCAGATTTTATCGAAAATATATTTTGAAGGTGGTCTACCATATTCATTTATGAACCTCAAGACTTAGGAAGTTGTTACTAGTTTGAACAAATCTGATGTTCCGGGTATAGCATGCTTATTCAAGAGCTCTCCCGTTGTCCAAACACTCAATATGGCGATAACTTCTATTCATAGATTAGCAAATGATGTAAGTTAATTTTTTCATAATTCTACTTTTATGTTTTTCACACTTCTTAATTACCTCTCCATAACATAGCATGTTATCTGACTTACAACATATTACAAAATTAAATTCAGAGATGGAACAACATCTTGTTGGACAGAGCCGGCTGCAGTGAAGAGCAATTCTGGGAATCTCAAGCTCAAACTTTGAGCCCCTTCCTTTGTCACCTAAAGCTGGCGAATCTTCGAGTTGCAGATCCAGTGCATGTGGTTGACGTTGCAAGGTTTTTGCTTAAACATGGAAGAGAATTGCAAGAAATGGTTATTAGTGTGAACAAAGCCTATACCCTACCCGCTTGGGACTTTTGTAATAAAATCAGTATAATAGAGGGACTCCCGCGGTCATCGGATGTCAAACTCTCATGCTTAATCAACTAAGCACACCTTTGTGACAAAATGTACAAATCAGACAAGCTTGTTTCATTAATGCTGTTGGTTTCGTTCTGGACAATATTAATTTCAACTCCATTTGGCATGACTAATTAGCTCAATGCATCTCACATACAATGCGAAGATGAAACTAGAGCTTACTTATAGGCTTTTAAGCCATAAGGAAGAAAGAGTCCAAGTATCCCATATTAACTTCAACCAAAAATAAAATTTGAGTTTTATGATTGGTGGCAATGCCTATCCAATCCTACCTATTTTTCATTCCGACCAAAAAAAAAAAAACTAATAGAGGTAGAATATTATCATTAGGTTCAAAATTAAATTTATATCTATAGATAGATAACAAATAACTGAACTTTATATTTGCTTCAATACTTGAACTTTTGTAGACTCCTTGTTCATGCAAACTTATTTAGAATCCTAATTAAATACAACCCTAACTCCTTTAGAATCTATATATATAAAGCAAAATGCAGAGAATGGTGAAACATTCAAAATACCAGAAAATGCCCTTGGTTAATGCAAATATTAAGAATTGAAATTATTAATTAAATGAGGATAATATGGTAAATTCACACTTTTTCATATTAAAAAAATTAAAATGAAAAGAAAAATCAGATAATGAATCCTATATTAATGGAACACAACTACCCATTATCTTTTTTAATTCTAAAATAAATTTAAAAAAAAATTATATAAAAAAAAAGCCTCTCACAGGTGCGGAAGTGCGTGCGGAGAGGTTAGTTCTAATTAAATACAACCCTAACTCCTTTAAAAATCCCAATTGAATCAAAAAGAGTTGCCGTCTTCGTCTATCTGCGGCTCGCACCATGGAAACCAAAGCTGCAAAGAAGAGAAGGCTGATAGAGGAAGAAAACGAACGCAATGGGCGAGGCAGGGACAGATTCAGTGATCTTCCAAATGAAATATCGAACCACATATTCTCCTTCTTACCCATGAAATCCATCGCACAAGTAAGTTTTACATCGAAAAGATGGAGATCGCTGTGGGATTCCTTTCCTATTCTCGACTTCTCCGAGGTCTGTCCTTTCACATCCCAGGTATTTCAAAAGAAAAGCGTTGGCCAAATTTTTGATCACCAAATGAGCGCAATGAGGTTTATATCCTCAGTATTGTCTGGCCGCCATGAAAACTGTGATATAAAGTCTTTTGCTTTTTCGGGTTATTGGAATTCTGTTCGTTTGCATGACTGGATTCCTTGGTTGGTGAAACATAGGGTTGAAAACCTAGTTCTAAAGTTCTGTTCGAATAACGTGTTTTGTGGTCCAGGTCCGCCACCTTCAACAAGTTTAGGACTAGAACTTGGGTTTTCGTCTTCTCATGTGAGAGATGCGGGCGGTCTCCGCTCACTTCGAACTTTGTCCCTAACTAACGTGAATTTATCCGATGTGTATGGTGATTTATTCTCAGATTTTTCATTTCCTTTGCTTGAGAAACTGACTATAGAGTCTTGTAGAAGCATGAATCAGCTCAGAATTTTCTGTGAAAACCTCAAGGATCTACAAGTTTGCGGAATGGAAATAATTTGCCTGGACATATCTGGAATGGGACTAGAGAGATTGCTTTTCAAACTTCATTTAACAAGTGTCATCAGCAATAGCTGCGTAAAAATTTTCGCTCCCAATCTACAAACTTTTCAATGGGGGGCTGATGAGGTTGCTGAGAAAGGTTTGGTACACTTCTGGCTTCCAGTCAATGATGCCAAATTGAAGACTCATACTGTAGTCATTCTTTCCGCATTATCCCAAGCTGAAAAACTTACTATATCCTTTCAGTTTCTTGAGGTCAGTTTACATATTCTATTTTATTATCTACTTGTTTGGAGACATGATCATTTTGATAGCTCTCTTGGATGCTTTAACAATAGATGAGGTTAGTTCATATCTTGTTAAACCAAATGTACTTATAGCATATTTTCTGCCAGCTATCGTAATTCCAAATATTTGTTGTAAAAAATTAGTATCTGCCTCGTTTATCTGTATATAAATCTGTTTTGTGGTCTACCATTTTTGCTTATAAATTTATGTCGCTTATAAATTATGTATGCAGATTTTATCGAAAAAATATTTCGAAGGTGGTCTACCATTTTCATTTGTGAACCTCAAGACTTTGGAAATTATTACTGCTGGTTTGAGAAAATCGGATTTCCCGGGTATAGCATGCTTATTCAAGAGCTCTCCCATAGTCGAAAGGCTCAAAATTGTGATAAGTCCTATTCATAGACCACAGGATGATGTAAGTTACTTTCGGCATAATTCTACGTTTTTCGATTTTTTACACTTCTTATCTCTCCATAAGATAACAACAAATGCCGCTCTTGTAATCACTGGCTTGACACTACGCACATTTACTCTTAAAATACATCCGGCTTACAACATATTATAAAATTATATTTCAGAAATGGAACGACATCTTGTTGGACAATGCCCTCTGGAGTGAAGAGCAATTCTGGGAATCTCAAGCTCAAACTTTGAACTCCTTCCTTTGTCACATTAAGGAGGTGGACTTTTCCGTTGTTACGGGCATAGATGAGACTGTGATAAGTGTTGCTAGGTTTTTACTTAAACATGGAATAGGCTTGCAAGAAATGAACATTTGTCCGCAGAACTGGAAAGCCTATCAACAAAATCAACCTGGATGGCAGGCTAAATTCAAGATAATAGAGGAACTGCCGCGGGCATCGGAGGATGTTCAAATCGTATGGTTATTCTAGTGGTTAAGTTTTGATGTTCTGCCTTGAGGGGAATGTATATTTATTATTAGTTTGCACTTTAGGTGCCATGTATTTGTGATCAAATGTGAAAATTGGACAAGCTTATTTTTATTAATGCAACTGTGTTGGTTTCTTTTTGGACTAATTCGAGCTCAAAGCATCACACGACAATGCGACGATGAGCTTACTTGGTATCTTATATACCGGTAGGCGTTTTAAAGCCATAACCAAGAAAGAGGCCAAGTATATATCCCATATTAATTTCAACCAAAATTGAAACTTGGGCCTTATCAATAATTATTTTTCATTTTTTATGAATAACTAACTAACTATAAGGTAGAATTATCACTAGCTTGGATTAAAAATTTATCAAAATTAATTAAAAATACTGCAATCGTACTTGGAAACAAACTCAAACGCTGTTCCCGTTCTCACCTCACTTCATACCTTTGAACCATTCAAACCCTAAAGTACGTAACTCAATCTCTCAACCCAAAGACCAGTAAAAACCAGATCAAACCCCAACAAAATCATCAAAATGGAAACAAGATCCGCTGCCAAGAAAAGAAAGCTCCTCATTTTCTACAACCAGAAGGATCAAGTTGACGACGATGACGAAAGCGAGAAGAGCAACAGAAGCAGAAGCATTGACCGCATCAGTGACCTCCCAGATGCCGTTCTCCACCACATCCTCTTCCTCCTACCCATCAAAACCGTCGCCCAAACCAGCGTCTTATCAAAACGGTGGCGTTCTATCTGGTCCTCATTCCCGGACCTCGACTTCACCACCCTCACTCGAGCCCCAACAAAGCCACATTCTTCTTCATCATCAAAATCGCTCTCTCAGAATTCCAAAGAAACAGACTTCATCACGCAAGTCCTGACTCTCCGCGATAAGCACTCCGATATTCGAATCCTTCGGTTCGGTTCCCGGTTGAGCTTCTCCCGTCTCAATGGCCTGATCCGCCTGGCCATCCGGCGCAATGTGCAGGAACTGGACGTGGAGGTTGCCACAGAGGATTATTTCAACTTCCCTAGATGCGTCATCGCCAGCGACTCTCTCCGCATTTTCAAGTTGAAATCGCGCTACCCGGGCTTCAGATTGCCCCCTTCATCTGTGATGACGAGCGGATTCAAATCCCTCCACTCTTTGTCACTTTCACGCATTGTCCTATACAACCAGCCTTCTCTCTTCGACATGTTCGGAGAGTCTGCTTTCCCTATGCTCAAGAAACTGAGCCTAGACGCTTGTTTCGGGTTGAAGTACCTACGGATTGGGTGCAGGGCGCTTGAGGATTTGACCCTGGAGAACTGCTTTCAGTTACAAGGGTTGGATGTTTTGGGTGGGAAATTGGAGAGGTTGAGAATTGTGAGGTGTTTTGATGCTTATGCTGATAAGAGTTGGGTGAAGATTGATGGTCCAAGACTTAGAATTATTCTTTGGGAAAACAATGCTATTACTGATAGCTCTTCTCTGGACAATTTGAGCTCTCTGCAAGAGGCCTCCATTGGTTTCTTTTTGCTCCAGGAAGATATTAGTGTGGCCAAGCTTCAGAGTGTGTCCAACCTTTTTATGGGACTCTATCATGCCCATTGCTTGACACTCGATACGCAATGTATTGAGGTACTTCAATTTAAGTAATATGAACCATTGATCATGTTAATTTAAGTAATGTATTGAGATACACAGCCTAGCAAAAGAAATTTAATCTACTACTAGACTATGAATCTGAACCATTGATCATGTTAAATTTTTATCTGAATGCATGATTTAGATTCATAGTTTGACAAGAGAGTATTGTCATTAATTTTATATGGTCACTCTTATGTATATGTAACATTTCAGTGATGAGCACGACTTATATGTATAGCTTTTTGTTGTTGCAGATTCTGTCAAACAGTAATTATTTTGCGGTTTATCTGCATCCATTCAACAATCTCAAGTCTTTGGAGTTGCATACGGGTTTCAACAGGAGCAATGTCCCTGGATTGGCTTGCATATTCAGGAGCTCTCCCATGCTTCACACTCTGACCCTCAATATTATTAACGATTACAAGATTGAAAGGAGAGTAAGTATTATAACTGAGATTAATTTGGTTAATACATTCATTGTATTCTTAATCTACACGTAAACTGACTGATTAGTATCAATTTCAACAGCTAACTAATTTGGTTTCTCATTTTGATGCATAAATATACTAGCAATGGAATAAGGATTTGTGGGAAATGTCCAATTCTGAGGAAGAAAAATTCTGGGAATCGCAAACGCAAGCCTTGAAGTCGTTTTTACAAAACCTTACGGTAGTAAAGATCCAGGGGTTTTTAGAGTGCGAGAATGAAGTGAGTCTAGCAAAGTTCTTGCTGAAGCATGGGAAGGCCTTGGAGGAAATGATTCTGTGCACTGGACACTGCAAAGCTAGATATTCTCTCCAGCGACAAAAGATTAGGTCACAGATGATGGGATTCTCTTGGGCTTCTTCTAATGCTAAAATTGCATTTCACTAAGCTTGTACTGCAAACGTTCTCTTTGACTTCCTCTTCTTTTTCTTTATATGCGCATTTTCCTGGCTAATTGGATGGAGTATATATGCTCATCATATGAATTTATGTAGAGCCCAAACAATTTGGTAAGCATAAGCAGATTTGTATGTTGAAAAATCAAATTCAAGAAGAAGCTATTATAAAGTGAATTGAGTTTGGAAAGGACAGAGGAGAGAGAATACAAAACATTAAGTATCACAACCATTGAATGTGCTTTAATCTAACAGTCTACAATGTGTGTACGTAATACTGTGTGTCAAAAATGTGTGTCCCCCAGTCCTAACCTTATATGTATAATATTTAAAATACGGTGATTCGTAATGTTACACATCCTAGCTACATAGATGGATGGAAAACTCGTGTCAACAAAGGGTAGAAAAGTACAGAAAAATATTTATTATATTTGACACCTAACTAGTTTCTCTTTGTGTGCTAGTTCTGGATTGGCCTAGGCCTTTGGTGTGCTCATAAGTGGTCATGGGTTCAAACCCACATTGTAACCTATGTGTGTGCATGAATTTTCCCCTTTTCTGTTCCTAATTTTGACCCAAAAAAAATGGCAATATTATTAAGTACTACTTTGGAAACGCACAAAATATTTTTAAATTCAATCGCAGAAGGTTGTGGATATGGCGACGTTCCTCCAAATTTCCTCAGTGTCAGTGAATTTGCCTCTTGGTGCATGCAATCAAGTAACAATGGATCCAACGTGACAACCAGGGTTGAAGTCTAGATGAAGTGCTTGTATATTGGATTCATTGAATGACTATATAGTACAGGATATATATATATTTTTCTAAAGTACTCGTTGCCTCCGCGAAGATACGTATATATATGTAAATGGATATGATATCAATAAGATGTTACATATATTTATTATATTATATATGCAAGTTCTGACCAAATATATTTATTATTTCTTTGGTACAACTGGCCAAATATATATATATATATATATAATTATTTAATGGAAGTTTCTTGATCTTACTACCTATCTCCTCATACTAATAGTTTACGGGTTGGGAGACGTCTCAAGTCATTCTTCTTTACCAGAAAACATGACTTTCTTACTCAATATTTATTTAGAATCGTACCAAAAAAGAACAAACTTATTGGAAAAAAATAACAAAATGCCTTGAACAAATTTTAATTTTTGAACCATCACCGGCCACAGAAACATGGCACCGTCGTGAAACTTTTAATTTTTAACTGGTCCACATCATTATCATATATAACAGACAAATGTTAAAGTATTTTAGTCAGCAAATCCAACGCAGCGGCAGCCTGCAGTGCTCTTCATGCTCCTCGTGCAAATAAATATTTTATGCATTCTTTAATAAAGAAAAATACCGTGAACGAGTCTAGTTTGTTGAAAAAGGGCTTATGAGCAGTGGTGGACTTGTGCAGGCGCAAGGAGGTGCACTTGCACCTTCGGTCGCTGGAAAACTCCATTACAGCTGCTGGAGTTGCACCTCTGCTCACGCACTGAACCTGTTCGATGAAATGCGCAAGTGAACTTGCGCTGCTAGGCTGCTGAGCTGCTGCGCGCAGCACGCGACCTCTTTTTTTTAATGAAGTATGAACAAAACGATGTCGTTTTGGACCAGGGTTTAAAAAAAAAAAAAAAAAAACTGAAACAACTGGGCTATTTCGTGGGCTTCTATAGGGTTTTAGTTGGGTATTTATTATTCCTTGCTGAATTGGGTTTTTGTATTCCAATTAAAACCCAATTAAGTTTTCTTTATTTAATTGGGTTTTGGGAATTCCTTATTTAAGTGGGACTGAGAATTCTCTTTATAAAGGACCAATTTAACATCACCCAATTCCTTAGAAATGCAAATTTAATGCGACGTTTTCATGATATGAAACCTCGTCGGCAACAATTGTAGGTTAATTGTAATGTTATTTTTTTTTAAATTAATTATGAATACCATTAGTATTGTTTAAATTATAAGGATGTTTAGTTGTCTCTTTTTTTTTTTCTTTTTTTTTTTTGAGCTCTTAACTTTTAAAATTTGCACCTTCGCTGAAAAATTCCTGGGACCGCCGCTGCGAGAAAAGTTCTTGGAGGAACGAATAAGAAAATGTACCAACAAGTAATATTACAACCAAAAGAAGGTGTTTGTTATTTCTCGGTATTTTTCAACCAGACTATTTCAGTTCCAAAATGAATAAAGGATGGAAGTAAAATACAAATCAAACGATCAAGACTGACGTCTCTTATTATCTTGCTCCTCCTGCATCGCGTGTTCAAGCCAAATCCAAGACTCCTCCATCAGCTCAGGGCTGAGTCTGAACATCAGAACGCAAAACTCCATCTGGTTGAGAGCTCCATCGCCATCCATGTCACCTTCCCTCATCATGCTCACAAGCTCATCGTCTCTCAAATTCTGCAGACCAAGAAGAGCAGAGTTGCTCCTCAAGCTCTCCAATGTAATGACCCCTTTGTCCTTGTCCATCAGCAGCTGGAACCCATTGCACAGCTCTGTGATCAGGCCCTCCCCGCCAAGCTTATCAGCCATCTCTGGCAGCAGGTCCTCAAAATCATCAACAGCCCTCTTGCCGACTCCTGCCATTGATTGTAATTAGCTCTTGTTTCTTTAGATGTATTGGGTTTTTGGGTTTGTGAGGGAAACATTGAATGAGAGTGAATGAATTTATACCATGTGAAGGAAGGGGGAAGGAGGGTGGAAATTGGAAGGGGGTTCTTGGAAAGAGGAAGGTTATGGTCTCCCCGTGTGGATGACAGCAATGGAACAGTGTGTTAATTACTGTCGGCTTTGATTCTTTACACCTGCAAGGGCCAGCAGCAATTTTATTTGCCTCCTGTGTTTCTCAGAAACTTGTAAAGGATATTTTTGTCATTACATGTAAATAATGAAAATTGGTCCTATTAGGGGCACTGATGTGTTTGGAATTTGCCTCCTATTTGACTTTCAACGCTAGTGTCGAAGGGGGTACTATTGTCATTTCAGATTATCTTAAGACTTCAGATACGGTTTTCCCTTTTGACTTTGGCAGTTTTAGCAGTTGGGTGGGTGGAATTCGGCGTATATAAGGTAAGTGTTCACATGAAATGAAGAAGAAAATGTGGTCAAAAGCACAAAGCCTATTTTCTAGTTGGGTTTTTGGGTCGGCTGTCATGTTTCCCAGAAAAAATGGAGCAACTCTTCTATGAAATTCTTTAGAAATGTAGGGCCGATTAAAGTTGTTAGCATTTGCGACCATTGGATTGAACTAAATACAACTAGAGCATTGTTTTAAGCATTCAGAGACTTTTGCTCAAATGCCTAGTTAGTAAATCCGCATATTACACGTGGAATGATGTATTTTTTTAAAAAAATACTTCTATTTTTCGTACACTTTTCAAAAACATAGAAATATACGAGATTTTTCAAAAATGAAATTGTATTATTCGTTTATTACGGTAATTTGCACAAATAATACAGATTTTTCGGCAATTTTTGTTAAAAAGACACGTTTTATTCCTGCATTTTATCCGTATTATGGAAACAATGACTACAAATAATGAACTTTAAATAAATAAATTTAATTTTTATATACTGGACGAATTTTAAATTATACGTTTTAAAGAAAATTATCAAATAATACACGTAATATTTTATACACATTATACTCGTCCCGTATTTTACTATGCTAAGATGAGATAGTTTGTGCAAAAAAGAATAAAAAGAATGCTAGGTTCGGGTTGGCCCATCTACCCCAGCTATGCGTTCTCCGAGCTTGGGGTTATGAACGCACCTGACTTGGGCCAATTTGAATTCTGAAGCCCAATGAAGGACGTTGGCCCATCAAAAGATATTGGTCCAACTCTCTGCATTGCAGATTGTCAACACTTGTCACAGTGTCTTCCATTTTCCTTCATAAATCAAACTTCAAGTGTGTTGAAGCAATGAAACATTATTGAATTGAACGTCTATCGACCTTCTGGGATACTCATGGTGATTACATTGTTGGAGAAACTGGTAACTGTTAGGATACCGACAGCAGCGCGGGGGTAGTTCCTATGCATTGAAAAAGCAGGTTCTTTGGAGAGTGGAAGTGATGCAGCTTCATTTCCTTGCAGCATAAGAATAACTGAAGACATTGTTGGCCGATCAGCTGGATCTTCTTGAACACACAAAAACCCTACATGCATACACTTTAGAGCTTCATGAGGCACACATGCTTCCCTTACTGATTCATCAATCACCTCCATTCCTCTGCCTTCTTTCCACAACTCCCATGCCTAATTGAGATTCAACGTCAAAACCCATCAATCTTGTTCAAAAAGGAACAAAAAAGAACTATAGTTTCTAATACTTACCCATCCCGCAAGAGTTCGGGAATTTTCGAAACGATAAAAAGAAGCATTCTTCTTTCCACTTACAATCTCCAACAGCAACACTCCAAAGCTGAATACATCCAGTTTCTCAGAGAAATGGCCATAGAGTGCATACTCGGGGGACATGTAGCCGCTGCTCATGAATTAACAGTAGAGGTAGAGAAGTAAGCAATAACAATGACTAATATTTGCATCAGGTTTTGTACATGGAAGGAAAACATGTGTTCTTACTATGTCCCAACAACCCTGTTGGTATTTGCTTCAGTTTGGTTCATCTCAAAAATCCTTGCCATTCCAAAGTCTGAGATTTTGGGGTTCATTGATCCATCCAACAGAATATTACTTGCTTTAAGGTCCCTGTGAATGATTTTCAGTCTAGAGTACTTGTGGATATAAAGTAGTCCCTGAGCAATACCTTCTATAATTCGAAAGCGTTTACCCCAATCTAATTCAGTTTTTTCCAATGGATCTGATTCAACAAACCATGGAGAATAATCAGCTAGGTGAATAGTTTTCCGTTTTGTTTTGAAACAAAATCTTTGACATAGAGAAAGATACTGCATTACACCACTTCTGAAAACATGGGAAAAGATCTTGGAAAAAGGTAATCGGATTTGACGTCACATGAATTAACAATATCAAAGAATTAATTTTAGCAGTGATCACTGATGAGCATATATACCAAACAAAAATTTGTCCAAACTTCGATTCGGCATGTACTCATAAATCAGTATCATTTCCTCCTTTTCAATACAGCAACCCAAGAGCCTAACAAGATTGGTGTGTTGGAGTTTGGCTATAAGCTTCAACTCATTCATGAACTCCTGAAGTCCTTGCCCTGACTTCTTTGACAGCCTTTTTATGGCTACTTCTTGGAGTTCAGGCAAAATCCCCTGTAGTGGAAGAAAAATCCGACACACATTAAGACAATTACAACCTTACCAGATGAGAAGTAATGAGTGAAATTATTAAGAAATGTAAAAAAGAAACTATCATATTTATAGCTCAATAGGACTGAAAGTGTTACCTTATAAACAGGGCCAAATCCTCCCTCTCCCAGTTTATTAGCTTCAGAGAAGTTGTTTGTTGCAGCTAATATTCTCCTTAAACGATAGAGTGGAAATTCTGTGTCATTCATTCCACCTCCAGCACCATATTTCCTGTTCAGTCTTATTGTTAAAGCATCCTTTGTTTGGATTACTAGACTCCGTATCGCTGAACATATGAAAGATAGACAGAGTGGTAAAGTACCTTCCCTTTCCCCAAATCTTCTTCCATAAGAAATAACAAAAAATTATTGTAAGCAATCCTGCTGTTGCTGAGACTGTTGCAATTACTAGGGAGCGCTTATGACCTGCAAAGAAAACAAAAAGATCCAGTTGAGAAATTAAAAATGATGGCTCCAAGTAATGATCACTCCCCACAACACCAATAACCAGTTCCTTATTACTTTTGGGATTCTTAAACTCAGAAGCTGCAAGTCTGATGTATAAAGTCCTTCCATCACCGTCATCTGATGCAAGTTGCTTTAGACCAAATAGATCTCCAGTCCAAATTGAACATCCAGCAGTGCTGTCGTCAGCATAAGCAATGCAAGAGCAGTTACTTAAGCAGATTGATCTACATGTTACACTATAGTGTTTATCCTCAATGTTGACACCATAACTGACCAAGCAACTAGAAGACTAGAAGGAACTCTAAGCAAAGCAAGAGGAGTCCCACATCGGAAAACAACAAGAAGTGAAGGCTCCCTCTCACCTATAAAAGCATACCACTCTCCACTTAAGAGAGGATCCGAAACTGAGCTGGGTTCCCTCTTCAGGACTCTCCTATTAGTCTGGCCTCCGAGTCCTGGGTCTCCAGACCCGGGGACTTGACACCTGGGCTCCAGACTCCTAACTTTGTACCTTAGGCCCTAGGCCTTCTTCCAGTTATCTTTGGGTCTAATCCCCTTGTACAAATGTAAACAATATCATAATGAGAACATCTTCTCTGTGGACGTAGCCCATTCATTAAGGGTGAACCACATATATCTTGTCTTTTGTATA